CAACATTAATTATTTCACTCCATGAGCATGGGATAGATTTCCGCTTATTTGTGTCTTTTTTATTTTCTTTCATGAGAGTCTTATAGTTTTTAGAAAATAGGTCTTTCATCTCCTTGGTTAGGTTTATTCCTATGTATTTTATTCTTTTGATGCAATTGTAAATGGAGTTGTTTTCCTGATTCTCTTTCTGCTAGTTTGTTGTTAATATATAGGAATGTGACAGATTTCTGTGTATTAATTTTGTGTCCTGTACCTTCGCTGAATCCAGTTATTCTAATGGTTTTTTTGGTGGAGTCTTTAGGGTTTTCTAATGTAATATCATGTCATCTGCACATAGTGATAATTTAACTTCATCCTTACCAATTTGGATGGCTTTTATATCTTTGTGTTGTCTTACTGCTGTGGCTAGGACCTACAGTATTAAGTCGAATAAAAGTGGTGAGAGTGGACATCCTTGTCTTGTTCCCGATGTTAGAAGAAAAGCTTTTAGCTTTTCATAGAGTGTCTTATAAGGTCTTTGGTTTTACTCCTAGTAAGATATGGTGCCATTGGGGGTTACCAGCTGAAAAGTGACATAATCCAAATTTCATTGTATATGTTTTTTCACTCAGGTTTTACCACTTTTTGGATATGAAAGTCAAAAAAATAGAGTAAAATTGTGAAGGCAAATATGATATTATCTTTTGTTCTTTGAGTGATTATTTTTGGCCCATACTCTGGAATGATAGCAACTCATAGAGTGCACAGTCCTGGGAGAAAAAGATACCTAAGCCATGGGTCTGCCTTTGAAACCATCCACCTGGCATCTTGTCTTCTCAGTTCTGTGATGTTTGCAGTACACAGTAAGCATAATGAGGTTAACACCCTTTGAGAGTCTTCCTCAGTCAATAGTATGAAGAGCATAAAAATGTATGAGACCTTGCCTCAAGGAATTTGCAAACATTCACAGCAGAGGACAAGGAAAGACATACAGAAGTTAAAATTCAAGAATGACGGAGCAATAGTATTGATGTAAAATAGAGAAAGTTAATTTTTCCTGGGGCAGGTTAGTCTCAGAAAGACTGTTGCAAAATTAAGCTGTCACTAGTTCAAAATGCCATCTGTTAGGGACCACTGTCACCATATCAGTCATAGGTACTTGTCATCTGGAGCATTGCTTTGTCTCTGTTCCTGAAATTTGATAACTGGAAGTGGTAAATAGGGGAGCTTTTCTATTGTAGAGCACTAAATGGCAGGTGGTTTGGTCACTGAGTGTAAAGAGCTCATGTGATTTGAGAAGTAAGAACAACAATAATAATAATTAATATTTTTTGAGCTCTTACTATATGCTACATCCTTTCTAAGCATTTCCCATGTATTAGCTCATTTTATTCTTGCACCTCTAAGAGCTACTACTACTACTGTCCCTATTTCAATATCAATTGAAATTGATATTGATGTGAATATCAATAATATTCTCCAAATCTTTTAATTGGTAACTGAGGAGCCATAATTCAAGCCAAAAGAATCTTTACTCAACAAACAGCATGTTCTAAACTTCTCTACTGATACAGAGTGTTTACACTTCAACTTTTTCTTTATTCCCAACAAATAGATCTGAACTTGTTTTAGAAGAGCTTAAGCAGGGCACTGGAGGACTGGAAAAAGCAGTGACAGGTGTTGAATATCTTACCTTTCATTTCCACCTTTTGGATGCCAGGCTGTATGTGGGAGCAGGTACAAAAGTACCCAAGATATGCGAGTATACACTTTATTTGCATGATCACTATTCCCATCTCTTTCAATTAGGGCATATTTAGGTCTGATTAGCTTGATTTCTTTGTATGAAGCAGTTATATTCCTTACTCTGTCATGCTCTGAGAAGAATTCCTGTTCTTTAGTGCCAGCATACCCCAAGTCACAATATTTTCAGCGCTACAGGAGTGCCTTAAACAGCTTATAAAATGGATGTGGTGTTTAGCAATGAGGTTGTCCTTGGGACATGAGCTGTGCCACTTAGTAGCTGTATGGCCTTTGTCAAGTTATTTTTATCTCTTTGTAGCACAGTTTTGTCAGTTGTAAATGAGGATAATAGTACCTACCTCATAAGGTTAAATTTAAAATATTAAATGAATTAATATTTTAAAGCAGTTGGAACAGTTCTTGATACATAGTGAGCATTGATTTAAAAGTAAATTAAAAATATTATTTTCTATGTTTATAATTCCAAATAACATGTATTTTTCTGTTAGCCAGAATAATCTCATTAGAACCACAGAACTAAATGTGTCCCAAATAACACTTTAACGTGTTTTAAACCATTTGATCTTTATAATACCCACTTGGATGAGTAAGGATATATTACGCCTTATATTTTTCCAATGAGAAATTTAAGGTTTATGGTGATTAGGTGAATTGTCCCTGGTTGTTCATCTAAAGGTGGATTAAAGGTGAGCAAAAGCTAGGACTTGAATGTATGTCTGTCTCACTTTCTCCAGACTTCTTGTCCCACCATTCTATACCACTTCTTTTCAGGAGTTCTATTCATCTGTGGTGAAGAGTTTATCCACCAGCATGTCTTTTGGGATATGACCGAGTGCAAGGTCATATCTTAACTTGTTATATTAGAAGACTGTGTGTTCCAGCAAACTCAGACTTCCTTATCCATTTTTTGTATATATTTTTATTTTTCCCCAAATAATTTATTTTAAGCCATGTTTAGCTTAAAATAGCAAGTTAAAAACAAAAACCAAGGAAACAAAAAGAATACATTCCTTTGGAAACAAAGAAAATTACTTTTTATTCTGAGCAATGAGACAGTGCCACCTAGTGGATTTTTTCTAGATAGCTGAGTTAAGAAACAAAAATGAGAGGCGGCAAGAAGATCCAGATGGAAAAGTGAAATAAATCGAAAACAAAGAAGTGGAAGATGTAAGACACAGGGTTTATTTACCACCTTAGAAAGTCTAGTATTCTGTGAACCACTCATCAGTGGAATGTTACACTGGAAAGTAAGTGCCATAATTTTTCTGTTCTGTTTATTATTGTATCTTCCAAAACCAGAAGAGTGCCTGCCACATAGTAGGAACTCAGTATTTGTTAAGTGAATTAGTTGTTAAAGTGAACTTATTATTTTTAAATTAAGAATATTATATTTTTCCCTTTGCTGAAGAATTTTCTGTAGTTCATAATATGAAAACAAGATTTTCAGTTTTAATTGTGATTTGTAGTTTTCATGATAGCTCCTATTGTAAAATTAGTTTGCTAATATTTGGTGGAAATTGAAACAAATGTCTTTTAAGAACTAAAGTAAGGTTTATGGAAATATTTTTTTATGACTAGTTTGTTAAATTACTTGGGAAATGATAAGCTAATCTATAGAATATGGGAAAGCTAGGTGAGTGATGTTAATCAAGTGAAATTCAGAAGAGACTGTGAATTTAAAAAACAAAATATCAGGGAACAATCCATTCTTTAGAATTTGAATTTTATTTTAAAATTGGATATTCATTAAAATGACTCAAGATTCAAAAAAGTACAAAAAAGGCATATTGTGAAAAATTTCCCTCCCTATCTCTGTCCTCCAGCTACCAACTCCCTTACCTGGAAGCCACCAGTGGTTTTTTTCCATGTGTCTTTTCTGAGACTTCTTAGATGTTTGCAAGTGAATATGCCTTTCTATAAAATTGTACCTGTTATTACAAAGAACAGCTATACAAATTGCACCTATTATTATAAAGAACAATAATTGATGGAAGACTTGAGTTGTCTTAACTTTAATCATATGCCTTTTTCTTTCTGAGCTCAAAAGAGTTTATGATCTATTTTTAAAATTTATTTTTCAATTATTAACAAAAATGGCAATGTTTTCTTACTGAAAAAAAAATTCTCATGCTATTCCCTGGATTATGTTTAAATGGCAGTTCTTATTTTAGCTTTGTCAATTTATTAAATTAGTTTTTATAATAAATTTATATTCACATGTAAATTCACAATTCGAAATTATTCACATCGATTCTCAGTATGGTGGTTGACAAACAATTTTACCAGGTTGTCAATGTCCACCAAGTCATCTCATGTTTCCAGTGCCTTAGTAATTTGCAGCAATCATATCAGCAGGCAAGAGAAACACAATTACAGGCCTCTTACCTTATCAAATGTTATTTGCCTGTTACCCAGGCCAGATTTTGTCTAATTTCTTTATTTTGTTACTAAGAATATAGTAAAGAGACACAAGACGCATATTCATTTGATAAGTCACTTTTAAATACTCCTATGATACTAATACTATGCTAGAGACTATAGAAATCACTTATAGTTATATAGAGCATTTGTGGGACAAATTGTACCTAGGTACACACAAATAAAAAGGGCTAATAACATTTAAAAATTTGGCTCTAAATGAACACACACAGGGAATGTCTAATTATTTAAATTACTGGCACCAGATTGCTTCTAGTATTTGGTTATAATGAGAAGTGACGTCATTAGCATTTTTAAGACTCTCCCAAATGCTGGAGGCATTGTACAGAAAATCAGAATGCCCATTAATTTCATACACTGGGCTTTGGACTGTCTGACAGATGCTCAGTTAAATAACTGTTCTAGGACTTCATTTAGCACAACATCTGAATCATAGCTATAAGGCCAATGCATTATTTATATTTCAAATAAAGTAACCTAAAGTGAAGGAATCTATTGAAAGTCGAACTTCTATTTGGTTTTGCATGGGAAAGCAGCATTTTTAGTTCAGACAGATTCAAGCACATTGATTTGCCCTGGAGGCATCCATTCTGTCTTGGTGAAAACACAGCCACACAGGGCTTCTTATGTCAAGGCATATGATTTATGTATATCCTGGAGCACAGACTTAAATTCTTGCATTCTCATTAAGAACTTAAGATCAACGCGGGAAAGGGCAGATACTTTCAACCCCTTCCTGCTGGAGTCCAGCTCCAGTGAGTCCAGGAGTCCCTGAAGGAGAAACGGCATCGGCGAGTGAGGACACAGACACTAGCAAAGTTGCTAAACTGGCCTGTTTATTGGCAGAAACATCAAGCAATATATAAGGAATTGGTTACAAAAAAATCATAAAATCATCATAAGGCATGTGTCATTCAGTGATTTATGGCATAATCTACTTCTCGGAATTATCCCCTGCTTTCCTAACCATGAAAGGTCATCATGTTTTGTTCCTCAAGATTTTTCTGTTGCTCTCATAGTTTTAGATTCTAATCTCAGGTTAAAGGCACCACAATAACTTAAAACTTGCTCAACCGGACTGCCACCTAGGCTTGCTGTGGGGCAGATTTTTTCCATAATTCCCTTAAACTGTTTACAGAAGAATAAGCAGCATTCATTCTGTTGATTTTGAGTATAACAATGCTTACTGAATTTCTATAGTAATGATTCATAAGGGGACTCTACCAAGATTTTTCCACCTGCTTTCCTGACCCACACCCCATGTAGGTCATCTCTTGTTTCTCCTGGGGGCCAAGTTGGCCTGGGAGCTGTACCCTGGATTCACCTGAACTTTCTTCTATTTCCCAGCCCAGGGATAACATCCCACCCATCTGGGGGAATGTGTAGGGCTTCATTCTCTCTTTAGATAAGGGAACTATCCTGTTTCACAAGCTGGGTTTGGGTTTTTATGATTGCTCTACTGTTCCTAACAGTCCTCTTCTCCAGGGGGCATTTTCTGATTCACGAGGGCTGTTTGGACTGGGGAAATGGTCAATTTAAGCAATAGAAGAGATATCAGTAGCCTTCCTTTTGGAGGTCCGCTGTGTGGCATCTGTCCATCGGCCTCCTGGGCTGTGCCATCAGGCAAGCGGCGTAGGTTGGCTCCCGGCATCTCCCCCTTTTTTTATATTTTAATTTGAAGGTATGCAGCTCGGCTGCAAACTTCTGGATGCTGTTCTTTAAGAGCTTGAAGAGGACTGGAAGGAAAAGGAGAAGAAGGATAAGTAAGTCCACCACTAATAGCTACATTAATTAACAGGGAGGAAATATTATGTTTTGAAACATAAGAGGCAATATTATTAAAAAATCCTTGAGAAATATGAGAAGTGGAAAAATCTCTTTTGGCCTGATTTATGTCATGAATCTCTTGGTGAAGTTTAGAAAGATCAATACTTAAATCAGTATGATTCCATATACCCATAATATGATTTCTAACCTTTTCCCAAGAATAAACAGATTCATTGACTTGAAGAGGAGTAGCACATATCCAGTGATAATCTGCATGGCAACGAAGTGCTAAGCGAACCTTTAGTGTCATTAGTTCATGACCAATAGTTAAAAGAGCTTCTTCTAAAGCATTAACTTTCAATTCTAACTTTTAATCAATAATTTCTTGTGTTGCTAAGGCTAAGGATATATTTTTGGAAAGCTGATCAGTAAATGTGGCGGTATGTGTTTCTTGGGTGAGTGCTACAGCTGAAAGTGAAAGGGAAGTAGCCGGGGTTATGAGGGTAGTAATTCCGAGAATTAGAGAAACCACAAAACGTTGACCACGGAGCAAAAGGAGACTAGTATCTCTTAGGGCTTGTAAGCCATAACTATCAAACCATGAGGAATTTAAAGTTACAGGAACCATTAAAATACGTAGTGTCGGTCCCTCCCTGCCTCTGACCCGCAGATAAGGAAGAAGACGCGATGAGATGTGGAAGACCTGAAAGGACCAGCCTGGGGACTCGAGGCATAACAGCGCAAGAGTGGTGCTGAAAGGGCACCCTTCGTATTTATTGAGCAAATACATGTTAGCAACAGAATTCTGTGTGGGGGACTTAATAGACAACCATTAACTGTAAACTTAATCATCGGCAGTCTCCAGTCTCCGAAGTGTAACGTCTTACAAGGTATTGAAATAATAGCAAGGGCAATTAGGTCACAGAAACTGTTTTGGTCTTGTTTGTGCTGTTCCTGATCACTTATCAGGAATTACAGGAAAAATAATCAAGTCATATATGATTATACATTTGATTTCTATACTTGATTTCTATATTAATCCCACAAGGGAGGATAGCAAACTATCGATATAATCTTAGCATTATTTTTTGCAGAAATGCAACTAGAAAGAATACAATGAGTACAATTAATCACAAACTTACCAACATCTTTTGTAATATTCATAGAGATATAATTTTAGGATAAAACAAAGGCATAAAGTGTATGTAAACAGGCTTGTATTTGATAAGCAGTTGTACTAGAAGGTCTATGAAGACTGACTGGACTAATAACTGCAATAGCTCGCCACAATTCTGACTGTAAGAAACTTTTACCATTTAGGAATGTGGTCAAAATGGGATGGACCCAAGCATTAATATGCCATCGGTTCACAGTTAGGGGCAAAGGTAGATAAGCGTCATTCCATTTGTTGCGCAAATATGCTCTATAATCGGTAGAAGGACTGGGGGAACTCCAATCATAAAGAGAAAGATTAAACATTGGTATAGGCCTTTCAATTTGATAGGAATACATACATTTTCTCCATATGGGAAAGCCTATCTGGATTATTAAAAGTAGGGGAATCTGTTAATAATCCTTTAAGGCTAATGGGTAAACGCTCAGGAATTGTGGAAGTATTGGATGTAGTAAAGCAAATGGGAGGGGAACTAGAAACTCCAGAAGAGGAAAAACTGGAATTTATAATGGCCTGATTAAATTGAGTAAAAGATTGGGTTCCCCCTAACAATTGAGTAAGATTGGTAAAAACAGGAATATCTTCATTTTCCCACTGAAAAGTAGAAGGGTTAGGTAGATAAGTCCAGTAAGATTTTCCAGATTTTTCGCAAGTTACCTGGCAGGTCAGGACAGCAAGCATAGCACTAAAAAGAGTTTTACTGGTAACGGGTAAACGTTGTCGACGGACTACAGCTTTGCTGCTTCTGACAGCTTCTTTAACTGGCCCCAGGTCGGAAGGTCACTTACTCGAGTTGATGTCGCGAACAGCCGCTGTGGAGGAACTGGATACCGACGGCGAGGTCTTTGGAGCTCCTGCAGTGTGAGGTTCTGCAAGAGCTGCACTAGAGGTTCCTCAAGGTTTCTTCTCGGTCGGGGACTTTCCGGAGGGGTCAGAAAGTTGTGTGGAGGAGGAGGTGGGGGCGGGTGAGGCAGGCGAGACATGTCTGATGAGTCTATCTGGTATCCACACGGAGGCGTCTGAGTCCTGTGGAAAAACACAAGCATATCCTCCCCAACATGTTAAAACATCAGGCCCTTTCCATTGAACTGTGAGCAGGTCTTTCCATTTTACTAAAGGTTTGGATCCTACAAATTAGGGTTCCAATGTTTTCCCATGGCCGCGTGTTCTGAGGAGTCAACATTAAGGTTATTAATGACAGAGTGCATGGTTTAGAATATGATGAGGTGAACTATATTTGAAGTCTCCCTCTTGAAATTTTGTGATTTGATATTTAAGGGTTTGATGAGCTCTTTCTGCAATAGCTTGCCCTTGTGGGTTATAAGGAATTCCTGTGGAGTGATGAATATTAAAAGTTTTGCAAAAACTGGCAAAGCTTTTGGAGGTATAGCCTGGGACATTATCAGTTTTTAAGTTGATAGGTATCCCAATGTAGGAAAAGCTTAAAAACAGATGTTGAATCACCTCTTTGTAAGCCTCACCAGTCCTTGCTGAAGCTATAATCACATGAGAATAGGTGTCAACAGTAACATGCACAAAACATAGTTTCCCAAAGCTGGGAATATGGGTTACATCCATCTGCCAAAGGGCGTTAGGCTTTAAGCCCTCGAGGGTTTACTCCTGATAAATGTGAATTTTCATGAGTAGGGCATATGGTGCAATTTCTAACAATTTGTCTAGTAGATTCTCAAGGAATTTGAAATTGATATCTTAGTGACTGGGCATTTTGGAGATGAATGTGATGTGATTCTTGGGCTTCTTCAATTGCTGAATAGATTAGAGTTCTTGTTAATTGATCTGCTAAAGCATTTCCTCCATGAAGGGGTCCAGGTAGTTTACTATGGGCTCTGATGTGGCCAACATAAAATGGGGTTCTTCACTTATGTATGAGATTCTGTAATTGTTTCAAATATTCAAATATGGTGGTTTTATTACTAGCAATACAGCTGTTTCAATATGAAGGAATAATTTCACAATATAGCAGGAATCTGTATAGAGGTTAAAGCTTCTATCAACAAGCTGAGAAAAGGCAAACAGAACTGATATTAACTCTGCTTTCTGGGCAGAAACTTCTTTTGTGGTTTGTACATGTGGCTGATTATCAATATTAGTAACAGCCGGTCCATTTGAGGAACCGTCAGTAAAAACCTAGGCAGCATCGGATATGGGGGATGAACTGTAAGTTTTTGGAAAAATAACAGGTAACAGGATGATGACAAATAAACTGTAACAACAGATTTTTTGGTAAATGGTATAACACTTGTCCTCTGTAATTACTTAATGATATTTGCCATTCCTCATTACTGTTTTGAAGAATTTCAAATTGATCCCTGGTATAAGGAATAACTATATTTGCAACATCTCTGCCAAACATTTCCTGACTACGTTTTCTTCCTTTATTGATAAGGGAGGCTACTAGATCTAGATAGGCCACTAATATTTTCTTTGCTGTATTAGATACTGGTAAATGTATCCATTCAAGGGGACCATTTTGCCATAAACATCCTATCGGAGTATGTGAAGTATGCAGTATTATTAAATCCCAAGGGCTATTATAGACAATTCTTTTTAAAAATGGAATGTTTAGTGCCTTTTCAACTGACTCCAGGGCTTTAGAGGCCTCAACAGTAAGCTCCCTCTTAGAAGTAGGGTCTGGGTCTCCTTGCAATATTTCAAATAAAGGTTTTAGATCTGAAGTAGATAGCTGCAAAAATGGTCTTTTCCAATTAATATCTCCTAATAATTTTTGAAAATCATTCAAAGTCTGCAAATGATCTTTTCGTAGCTATAAAGGTTGATGAAAAACTGTCTGTATATTAATAACTCTTCCTAAATAATTATAAGGTGGATTAGATTGAATTTTTTCTGGGGCTATTTGTAAACCACAAGTATTAAGAGCAGAAACAGTCTTGTCTAGCACTTCTTGTAAAAGGGCACAATCTGGGTGGGCAAGGAAAATGTCATCTGTGTAATGGACTAAGTAAAGATCAGGGTAAAGGTCTCTAATTTCTTGTAAAGCACTGTCAACATATTTTTGACATAAGGTGGGACTATTTTTCACATCTTGTGGTAAAACTTTCCACTGGTATCTTTGATAGGGTTGTTTAAGATTTTCTGAAGGGAGACTAAAGGCAAAGTGTCTGCAATCTCCAGGGCTCGAAGGTATAGTAAAAAAGCAATCCTGCAGATCTATGACAAGAATATTGTAGTTAACAGGGATTGCAACTGGAGACGGAAGGCCAGGTTGCAAGGCTCCCATATCTTCCATAGTGGCATTAATGGCCCTCTGATCTTGTAACAGAAGCCACTTTCCTGATTTCCTTTTATTATGAATATGGGAGTGTTCTAAGGGCTGTTAGATGGCTCTATATGGCCTGCAGACAACTGCTGTTTAACTAAATCTCCGGCTGCTTTAAGTTTTTCTGTGGTCAGAGGCCATTGCTCAACCCAAACAGGGCTGTCATTTTTCCATATAATTGAGTCAGCAGCCTTAAGAGCAATGGCCTCTAAGATAGTTCCATTTTTATGAAAATTTGACCTGCAATCTCTGGCCCAATGGAACCCTTTCTGACAGTGAGGGCAAGGAGCCTGAGGAGGATTAACAGACTGAGTTTGTGGTGGAAGATTCTTTTGAGGACAGGTTGTACTAAAATACCCCATCTGACTACATGTAAAACAGCTGCCATTTGGGCCCTTAGGAGCTTGCTTCTTATCTGATACCCTCTGTATAAACTGGGTATAAGTCTCTCCTTTTAAGGCTGCTGCTATTGCCACCCTCTGGATGAAAGCTGGAGTGACATCAGCACACTGTTTAATATATAATCTATAAGAGATCCAGTCTTACAAATTTCCCATAATAATGCTTGGCAAGTGGAATTGGCATTTTCAAAGGCCAGTTGTTTTATTAAGATGTTAGCAGCCTCCTCATTAGTAATAACTCTTCTAACTGCCAGTATTAATCTGGATACAAAATCCTCATATATCTCATCAGCTCATTGTTTTACTTCTCCTAATGTAGTTGTTTTTTCTGTAGTTATTGACAAAGCCCTCCAAGCGTTAACAGCATAGGCTGTAGCTTGTATTAAAGTTTCTTTTTCTAAGTATAACTGGCCTTGGGCTGAGTCATAATTACCCTTGGCAAGCAACATGTCTTTAGTTATATGGAACCTCCCTCTTGTTCTCTTGTTGTCTGATGCTTGTTTCTTAGCCATGTCTTCATATTCTGTCCTCCACAACAAATAATTCCCTCCTGTTAGACAGGCCTTAGCCACTTGAGTCCAATCATAAGGAGTCATCCAACTGTTGAATAAAGCCTCCAATAAGGTTAGGGTATAGGGAGCTAAGGGACCATAATCTTCACATGCAATTTTCAATTCCTTCAAAAGTTTATAAGGAATAGGCTCCCATGATATGTCCTCATTATCAAAATCCCCACTGTAAACCACCGGAAACCCATGGCAAAGTCTGTATCCCCTTCCATTTCTGCCTGCCTTAGAGCTGCTCGCACCCCAGTATGGGCCTTTTGTTAAAGGAGAAGGGGGTTGTGAAGGCTTCCCCTGCTCTGATTTTTTCCGGGGACAGTATGCAGAGACTTTGCGAGTGGGAGGCTTCCCATGTAATTGGGCTGCACCTATTCTGAAGGGGGCCTCCTCTTCATTATTATATCTGGTCGTGGCCTCCTCTAAGTCTTCCTCATCCTGCAGGGTCAATTCATCACCATACGGGGGGCAGAGGCTAGCATCCCCCGAGAGTAGCGGTGGTTTTTCCCCAGGGCTATTTTCAGAAAGGAAATTCTTCCTCTGAGGAAGGTTCTCTGCCTCTTGTTGTGGTTCTAAGACTTCCTTAATTAAATTCCACAGAGTAAAAGCATAAACAGGGACCTTTTCAGGCCCATTCTGTGTATAATATTCTCTAAGCTGATTTCCGACTTTATTCCACGTCTGCAAATAAACACTTCCTTTCTTCAGGGACCCAAGGACAACATTCTTGCACAAAGTGTAAAAATCTTGCTAATTGTCCATTGGTGACTTTTATATCTCTACCTGCAAGCATGTGCATTAAAATTCAATGAAGAATCTTTTTCTTTCTTTAGACTCAATATGGCCCGTGACTTCTTAAGGAAATTCTGACTATCCACCTCTTACGCTGCCTATCTTCTACAGGGGGGTCCGTGGCACCCTCAGATGAGGTCCTATCTGTTCCGTGGTGCGGGGCTTACCTTCAGGTCCTTTTTCGGGCGCCACCTCGTCGGAGTCCAGCTCCAGTGAGTCCAGGAGTCCCTGAAGGAGAAACGGCATCGGCGAGTGAGGACACAGACACTAGCAAAGTTGCTAAACTGGCCTGTTTATTGGCAGAAACATCAAGCAATATATAGGGAATTGGTTACAAAAATCATCATAAAATCATCATAAGGATGTGTCATTCAGTGATTTATGGCATAATCTTCTCGGAATGTTCCTCTGCTTTCCTAACCATAAAGGGTCATCACGGTTTGTTCCTCAAGATTTTTCTGTTGCTCTCATAGTTTTAGATTCTAATCTCAGGTTAAAGGCACCACAATAACTTAAAACTTGCTTAACTGGACTACCACCTAGGCTCACTGTGGGGGCAAGTTTTTTCCATAATTCCCTGAAACTGTTTACAGTAGAATGAGCAGCCCTCAGTCTGTTGATTTTGAGTATAACAATGCTTACTGTAATTTCTATAGTAATGATTCATAAGGGGACTCTATCAAGATTTTTCCACCTGCTTTCCTGACCCACACCCCATGTAGGTCATCTCTTGTTTCTCCTGGGGGCCAAGTTGGCCTGGGAGCTGTACCCTGGATTCACCTGAACTTTCTTCTATTTCCCAAGCCCAGGGATAATATCCCACCCGTCTGGGGGAATGTGTAGGGTTTCATTTTCTCTTTACATAAGGGGACTATCCTGTTTCACAAGCTGGGTTTGGGTTTTTATGATTGCTCTACTGTTCCTAACAGTCCTCTTCTCCGGGGGCATTTTCTGATTCACGAGGGCTGTTTGGACTGGGGAAATGGTCAATTTAAGCAATAGAAGAGATATCAGTAGCCTTCGTTTCGGAGGTCCACTGTGTGGCATCCGTCCATCGGCCTCCTGGGCTGTGCCATTAGGCAGGCGGCGTAGGTTGGCTCCTGGCACCTTTATGCTATTGTTGATAAGATTTTGGCATTTTTAAAGGTTGGGAAAACATATACTGAAAAATTGTCACAGGAATTTGGCTACTTTGTCATAAAAGTTATTAAATACATCTTGAGGTATTTATATTCTTCATTTATATCATACTCTTAAAATCATATAGCAGAAGAATAGTTAATATGGAAAGATGTTCATATTTTGTTGAATGAAAAAATATATGTATATTCACATGAATAAAAGGGAAAGCTGTACATCAAAATTTTGATAGAAGTCTTCTCCATGCTTTTTTTCTTCATTTAAAAGTGAGGATAATGACAGTACCTATTTCATAGGGTTGTTACAAAGATTAAACAAAATCATACTTATAAAATGCCTGGACAGCATCTGGCATAAATGGCAGCTATCGTTGTTGTTTTTATTGTTCTGTCTGTGTGGTGGTTTATTGATAATCATTGTATAGATTTATTTTCTTTTGTTTCCTTTATTTTCCTAATTTTTATAATAATAATTTTATGGTTAAGTTATTTAAAAAATCTATTGTCTACTTCTAGGATTCCTTTTAGTTCCCAAACTCTGAAATCCAAGCATTACAGGGTAGGTAAGATCCTATCATTCTCCTTTGCAGTGCATACTGATATTGTAACTAATTAATTATCTGCTTGAGGATTGTCTTTTCCAGTAAACTGGAAGCTTCCCTGGGCAGGGCTGTGTTCATCTTAATGATTTTCATTTCCTTTGTGTCTAATGCTTTTCCAGTTCCTAGTTGGTGCTCAATGAAAATTTGTTGTATGAATGAAGGTTAGGGATATGTTTGAAGCAATTCATAGCCACTTAGTTTTATAGTTATGTCATGTAATAATATTACCCCCATTTTATAGACAAAACTGAACAGAGTCACAGCAACCAAGTAGTGGGGTCAGGATTTGAACCCACCTAATCTTATTAAAGTGTACGGCCTCTTACAAGAAATAATGAGGAAAAATAATCAAAGTAATATAGAGTTTTACACTAATAATATAGAACATTTTTGAAATATTTGTTGGTATTTAAAAAAGGTGAAAGAGAGAGATGGAATAGTATATATAGAATGTCTAGCATGCTTTACAAATGGGTTTGTGTATACATGTACCAAATGCCTTCCTTTTAATTTCTCTAGTCACTTTTATTTACATCAACTTTAATTTTATATTTATTTACTTA